AAGGACGTTTTCTTCTCAGATGCAGAAGATAAGACACTGTGAGTTATGCGCAGTGTCACGAATTTCCTCTATTAGTTGGCCATGACTTTTGCAGTAATATTCCATACTCTGCTTGGAAATGTACTAGAAGTGCTAGAGAAAGAAGGCGTAGCTATAATCAAACATTGATCACTGAGAAAATATTATTTTATCATCATGCGTAACACTTTCAGGCAAAGTATTCTGAGTCTCTAGCTTGGGATTGGGATAGAACAGGCATGGGCAAACTTCGGCCCTCCAGGTGTTTTGGACTTCAACTCCCACCATTCCTAACAGCCGGTAGGCTGTTAGGAATGGTGGGAGTTGAAGTCCAAAACACCTGGAGGGCCGAAGTTTGCCCATGCCTGATTTATATTACACCTTCTAAGAACTTTGTTTGAGTTCTATTTCATTCTTCAAATCCTTTTTGTCCCACATATTTATTTTATTTATTTATTTACGACATTTATATGCCGCCCTTCTCACCCCGAAGGGGACTCAGAGCAGTTTACAAGATATATATACATACAATATATTATATTATTCGCATAGAACAATATCAGTATTATATATCATTATATTGTACTATACCATTATATTGTAATATTATTAGTAATCTATATATATAAAAATGCTCTGTGCATAATGAGTACCTTAAAAACAAAAGAACCAATGAACGAAATCACACCAAATTTGGCAACAAAACGTCTCACAACACAAGGAGTGACCATCACTCAAAAAATTATGATTTTGTCATTTGGGAGTTGTAGTTGCTGGGATTTATAGTTCACCTACAATCAAAGAGCATTCTGAACTCCATCAACGATGGAATTGAACCAAACTTGGCACATAGGACTCCCCTGACCAACAGAAAACACTGGAAGGGTTTGGTGGGCATTGACCTTGAGTTTGGGAGTTGTAGTTCACCTACATCCAGAGAGCACTGTGGACTCAAACAATGATGGATCTGGACCAAACTTGGCACAAGCACTCAATACGCCCAAATATGAACACAGATGGAGTTTGGGGGAAATAGACCTTGACATTTGGGAGTTGTAGTCACTGGGATTCACAGGTCACCTACAATCAAAGAGTGTTCTGAACCCCATGAACGACAGAATTTGGGCAAACTTCCCATATTGAACTCCCATGACCAACAGAAAATACTTAAGGCCATCCACTCCAACTCCCTTCACTAGGGCAAGAAAACGTAATCAAAGTCCTCCTGATAAAGAGCCATCCAGCCATAGAGAGAGAGAGAGAGAGAGAGAGAGAGAGAGATGATTCACACACACACAGATATAGTATCATAGATTTGAAAGGGACCCTTAAAGAAGGACAATGATAGCTTGCATGTTCCAAACCAGACAATCCTGACAACACTGACAAAGAAACAGCAAGAAATACTGTTTACCCACAAGCATAAAGAAATTACATATATTAGAAACCAACACATTCTCATTACTTTATTTTCCAGATCAACAGACTGAGCCACAGCAACGCGTGGCAGGGGGCTGCTAGTATTACATATAATACAAAATATATAATTTGCACCTATTTTTGAAGTGTTTTTTTTTTTGTCGTGTCAGGAGTGACTGGAGAAACTGCATGTCCCTTCTGGTGTGAGAGAATTGGCTGTTTGCAAGGACGTTGCCCAGGGGATGCCCAGATGTTTTGATGTTTGGTCATCCTTGTGGGAGGCTTCTCTCATGTCTCCGCATGAAGAGCTGGAGCTGATAGAGGGAGCTCATCCACGCTCTCCCCGGATTTGAACCTGCAACCTGTCGGTCTTCAGTTCTGCCGGCACAGGGGTTTAACCCACTGCGCCACTGGGGGGCTCCTGTTTTTGAAGTGGGCAGAAAACACTGAGAAGTGAAAATGATACTATCGACAAGAAACATTGGCACCCCGGGACTCCAAACTCCTAGCTTGTTGCTTCAGGATTTCAAAAAGAAGCAATTGTTTTGTTCCCAGTCTGACGCTGGCCACAATTTGGAGAAAATGGGAACAATTGAGCTTCTACTAGCTTTGCAGAGATGCTGATGCATCCCCAGTTATCACCAAGATAATGCACTGGAGACATTGTCATTATGCAGAAATTGGAGTTGTTATGTCTGCTGGATTGACACATTTCCTAATTCTAATATTGAATATCCATTTATTTCATGTTGGTGCAGTGCTACCGAGGAAGCATTGGGCTACGCATGCAGAAGTACCGCAGCATCAACCTGAATAGGAAAGGAACTACAAGTGTTGTCTGAATACACTTGTAGTTTGTGTCTATGATAACAATGAGTCATGATTTCTACCTTAAGGGGGTGCTTTACGAGTCACTAAGTTTGACTGAAGTACAAATGTGCCACTCTGAATGCACGGAGTCCCTTGGAGTGGATTTGCTTGGACAGGGTGACGATCCAAATGTGGGAAGCCTGGCTACTGCTGTAATCCACTCAAGTGTGAAATTTCCACATTTGAGTGTGAAAATTAAAATCCTCTGCTACTTGCTTGGTGATGCATAATAATGTGGTGCAACCTGGCAAAACATAGCACATATAAAACTGCAGCCGCAACCTGCGCTCGTGCCATGGAGATGCCAATCTTCTCCATAGCAGCAACCTGGTTGTAGAATATCGATTAGCAGAAGAAGCGCCTTGCTTTTTCCACATGCTAACCTCACAGAGCCATGATAATAGGATAGTGGCTTGCTGTGAGATATGACCATGTTCTACAGTAGTGGTTCCCAACCTTTCTTTGACCAGGGACCACTTTGACCAGGGAAAGCTCTCCAACATTAGTACCAAAAAGGTTACAAATCAGTTTTTGGTCAACCCGAGATTGGTTTGGTTATTTGGAGCGCTGATTCTGAAAATTGCATTGGACAGACCACATCAGCTCTAGTTTCTGATACAGAACATATGCCATCCAGTAGTTGCCATCTGCTTGTCCACAGAAAACCATGTTTAATAATCTTGAGCTGATGTGGTAGTAGTAATCTTTCGTGGGTAGTTAGCCTTTCCCCTCCCGACATCCCTGTTGCCTTGGCTCTTGTTGCTGCATGGTTTTGAGGCAATGGTGCAGTAATGGTGAGGTTATGGACCATATTTTCATTTTTGGGGACCACTGGTGGTCCATGGACCACAGGTTGGGAAGCACTGTTCGACTTCAGTGACTTCTCTCCAACTTGGTGACCATTCTTTTGTCGGATTGGGCTTCCTTCGCTCACCAAGCACACAGACCCACAGATGGCTGGACACCGGAGCCTCTTGCTGCCTAATGGGTTTGGTTCCCAGTCCTGGGTTCTGGCTATTCGTGGCACGGATCTCACTATCCATGCCTGCTCCAAATTGCTCTATTTCACCAGCCACAGATGCAGGTGAAATGTCAGGAGAGAATGTTACTGGAACATACAGCTCAAAGAAGTCACAGCAGCCCTGTGATTCTGGCCATGAAAGCTCTCGACAACATAATAGGAGAGGATGGAGGTTTGACACATAAAGCAACAGATTGCCCTCCTTTGAAGGAATTTGGAAGAGGATGTTCAAGCACACTCGGCATAGAAAGTGCTCAGCCTGCAAAGCCTAGAATCATAGAACTGGAAAAGAGCCAAAGAATCATAGAGTTGGAAGAGACCTCATGGGCCATCCAGTCCAACCCCCTGCCAAGAAGCAGGAAAATTGCATTCAAAGCACCCCTGACAGATGGCCATCCAGCCTCTGTTTAAAAGCCTCCAAAGAAGGAGCCTCCACCACACTCTGGCAGAGAGTTCCACTGCTGAACAGCTCTCACAGTCAGGAAGTTCTTCCTAATGTTCAGGTGGAATCTCCTTTCCTGTAGTTTGAAGCCATTGTTCAGCGTCCTAGTCTCCAGGGCAGCAGAAAACAAGCTTGCTCCCTCCTCCCTATGACTTCCCCTCACATATTTATTCATGGCTATCATTTCTCCTTTCAGTCTTCTCTTCTCATAGAATCAAAGAGTTGAAAGAGACCTCATGGGCCATCCAGTCCAACCCCTGCCAAGAAGCAGGAAAATTGTTCAAATCACCCCAACAGAAACCCATCCAGCCTCTGTTTAAAAGCTTCCAAAGAAGGAGCCTCCACCACATTCTGGGGCAGAGAGTTCCACTGCTGAACATCTCCCACATTTAGGAAGTTCTTCCTTGTATTCAGGTGGAATCTCCTTTCCTGTACTTTTAAAGCCACTGTTCCACATCCTAGTCTCCAGGGCAGCAGGAAACAAGCTTGCTCCTTTCTCCCTATGACTTCCTCTCACATGGCTATCATATCTCCTCTCAGCCTTCTCTTCTTCAGGCTAAACATGCCCAGCTCTTTAAGCCGATCCTCATAGGGCTTGTTCTACAGGTCCTTGATCATTTGAGTCACCCTCTCTGGACACATTCCAGCTTGTCAACATCTCCCTTCAATTGTGGTGCCCAGAATTGGACACAATATTCCAGGTGTGATCTAACCAAGGCAGAATAGAGGGGTAGCATGACTTCCCTAGATCTAGACACCCTGCCATGCAGAAATACACGATCCAAGCCTTCCAGAGGGATGGCCATTCAGTAGATATTGAAAATCTACATAGAAGGAGACCCTAGGATAGGCATGGCCAACTTGGGACCTTCAGATATTTTGGACTCCAACTCCCACCATTCCTAACAGCCTCAGGCCCCTTCCTTTTCCCCCTCAGCCGCTTAAGCGGCTGAGGGGGAAAAGGAAGGGGCCTGAGGCTGTTAGGAATGGTGGGAGTTGGAGTCCAAAATATCTGAAGGTCCCAAGTTGGCCCATGCCTGTGCTAGAGCATCATCCCTCCAAAAGTGGCATCCTTTCTAAGATGCAAGCCCGAGATTCCAGTCCCTTTTCCCCATGCACCATTCCCAGCTGGACTTCTGGATGAGGGGTGGGCCACTTGTTGGTCTCCAGAAAGGAAGGGCCCTCCCCCCCCCCCCCCCCCCCCCCCAGGGAATGCCTGCCTTGACTCACCGGGGCCCCTCCGCCTGGTCTCGGCGGGTCCGGCCTCGGCGGCGGGAGGGAGGTCGGCGTCGGTGTTGGTCAGCCAGGTGGACTCGGTCTCCCTGGTCCAGCTCTCGTAGTAGCGGGGCTCCAGGGCGTCGGCGCGGCTCCCCCCGCAGCCCATCCTGGCCCTTCCCTTCCCTTCCCTTCCTCGGTTCAGCGGCAGGACCAGGGGCGCCTCCTTCTCTGATGCTGCTGCTGCATCCCTCTTTCCTTCCTTCCTTCCTTCCCTCCTCTCCTTCCTTCCTTAGCCCTGCTCTCGCCCCCTGGACATCTCCCCACTGCTCTCCCTCTTTCCCAGGGCTACCCTCCCTGCTCCCTACCAGCCCGTTCCTCGCCTTCCTTTGTGCTCATGCCCTTCCTCTCCGCTCCTCCTCCTCCTCCTCCTCCTCCTCCTCCTCCTCAGACGCCCAGGGCATTGAGCATCTTTCCTAGGAAGGAGGAGGAGGAGGAGGCAATGCCTGGGATGCGGGGAAAGCCTAGGAAAAGGAAGGCGGGGCCGAAGTGGTTGGTGGTCCTCCTCCTCTTCCTTCTCTTCTCCCTCTCCCCTATCTCCTGGTTTTTCTTTCCTCCTCCCCTGCCCTTCTTATAGAATCATAGGCTTGGAAGAGACCTCATGGGCCATCCAGTCCAACCTCCTGCCCAGAAGCAGGGAAATCACATTTAAAGCACCCCCGACAGATGGCCATCCAGCCTCTGCTTAAAAGCCTCCCTCAAAGGAGCCTCCACCACACTCTGCAGCAGAGAGTTCCACTGCTGAACAGCTCTCATAGAAAGTTCTTAGAATTATAGAGTTGGAAGAGACCTCATGGGCCATCCAGTCCAACCTCCTGCCCAGAAGCAGGAAAATCGCATTCAAAGCACCCCCGACAGATGGCCATCTAGCCTCTGCTTAAAAGCCTCCATCAAAGGAGCCTCCACCACACTCCGCGGCAGAGAGTTCCACTGCTGAACAGCTCTCATAGAAAGTTCTTAGAATCATAGTGTTGGAAGAGACCTCATGGGCCACCCAGTCCATCCCCCTGCCCAGAAGCAGGAAAATCGCATTTAAAGCACCCCTGACAGATGGCCATCCAGCCTCTGTTTAAAAGCTTCCAAAGAAGGAGCTTCCACCACACTCAGCGGCAGAGAGTTCCATTGCTGAACAGCTCTCATAGAAAGTTCTTAGAATTATAGAGTTGGAAGAGACCTCATGGGCCACCCAGTCCATCCCCCTGCCCAGAAGCAGGAAAATCGCATTCAAACCACCCCCAACAGATGGCCATCCAGCCTCTGTTTATAAGCTTCCAAAGAAGGAGCCTCCACCACACTCTGCAGCAGAGAGTTCCACTGCTGAACAGCTCTCATAGAAAGTTCTTAGAATCATAGAGTTGGAAGAGACCTCATGGGCCATCCAGTCCAACCCCCTGCCCAGAAGCAGGAAAATCGCATTCAAACGACCCCCGACAGATGGCCATCCAGCCTCTGCTTAAAAGCCTCCAAAGAAGGAGCCTCCACCATACTCTGCCGCAGAGAGTTCCACTGCTGAACAGGTCTCACAGCTAGGAAGTTTTTTCCCATGTTCAGGTGCCCATGCTTGATGAACCCTCAGGGACCTCTTGCTCTGTTTCCAGGTCATGGTGGCTTTCCGTACTGTTGTTGTTGTTGTTGAGATGATCTGCTGTTGCCAAGTGGGCTTTGGCCCAGTGGGGTTGGTGTCAGCCAATTCTGGTGGTGGTGTCACTTCTCCAACTCAGCTGGTAGAAGGGAGATTGGAAAGGGTCCCTGCAAGAGAGTTAAACTGTGATTAAGAGTTTAAGCCCTTCCTGCAGGAGAGGATACTAGAAGGCAAGGCTCACCTGGGTGGACACAGCTCTAGGGAAATACATTGCTGCTGGATCACTGCACAAAAATGGTATACAGTCATTTTGGGGTCCCTCCACTTGGTGCTGTCTGCACTTTCCATTTTATTTTATTTTTTGGTCATGTCAGGAGCGACTTGAGAAACTGCAAGTCGCTTCTGGTGTGAGAGAATTGGCCATCTGCAAGGACGTTGCCCAGGGGACGCCCAGATGAATTGATGTTTTAATCATCCTTGTGGGAGGCTTCTCTCATGTCCCCGCATGAGGAGCTGGAGCTGGTAGAGGGAGCTCATCCGCCTCTCCCTGGATTCGAACCTGCGACCTGTCGGTCTTCAGTCCTGCCAGCACAGAGGTTTAACCCACTGCGCCACCGGGGGCTCCTCACTTCCTAAATGATACTGCTTCTTGTGGACACCCTACAAATAAGAGGCTTTCGGGTTACCCTGCCATCAACCTCCTACTCGGGTCTTGAAAACTCAGGGCCCTTGTTTCCTCAAGTGGGTCTGTCCATCTGGAATGCTGCCTTCTAATTTAACAAGAGAATCATAGAGTTGTAAGAGACCTCATAGGCCATCCAATCCAACCCCCTGCCAAGAAGCAGGAAAATCACATTCAAAGCACCCCCGAAAGATGGCCATCCAGCCTCTGCTTAAAAGCCTCCAAAAAAGGAGCCACCACACTCCACGGCAGAGAATTCCACTGCTGAACAGCTCTCACAGTCAGAAAGTTCTTCCTAATGTTCATTTGGAATCTCCTTTCTTGTAGTTTGAAGCCATTGTTCCTCGTCCTAGTCTCCAGGGAAGCAGAAAACAAGCTTGCACCCTCCTCCCTATGACTTTCCCTCACATATTATACATGGCTATCATGTCTCCTCTAAGCCTTCTCTTCTTCTGGCTAAACATACCCAGCTCTTTAAGCTGCTCCCCATAGGGCTTGTTCTCCAGACCCTTGATTATTTTAGTCGTCCTTCTCTGGATGCATTCCAGCTTGTCAACATCTCTCTTCAATTGCAGTGCCCAGAATTGAACACAATATTCCAAGTGTGGTCTAACCAAGGCAGAATAGAGGGGTAGCATTACTTCCCTGGATCTAGACACTTCCTGAACTTCATTTTGTTAGTTTTGGTCAATCATCTCTCCAATCTGTTTAGATTATTTTGAATTCTGCTCCTGTTATCTGGGATATTAGCTATCACTCCCAATTTTGTGTCATCTGCAAACTTGATGATCATGCTTTATAACCCTTCGTCTAAGTCATTAGATGATTTCTAAGCCTTCGTCTAAGTCTTCTTTTCCTTCTTCTTCCCTCTTCATTCCCCTCCTTTCCTCCTCCTCTTGTCCCTCTTCATTTCCTTCTTCTTTTCCTCCTTCCTCCTCCTCCTTTCCTTTCCCTCTTATAATAATAATAATAATAATAATAATAATAATAATAATAATAATAGACTTTCTTTATATTATGCTCTATCTCCCCGATACAACATATACAGATAGGCAAACATTCAATGCCTTTAATACAGTGGAATAACAATGACATGCAAATACACAGAACAAAGGTAAAGGCTTCCCCTTTTACTGTCTTATGTCTAATTGCACTATAATGGTTCTTTTTGTTTATCAATGTATATATATTTTATGGCATCGAATTGTGTCGATTGTGTACGGCGCTCTGAGTCGCCTTTGGGCTGATATGAGCAGGGTAGAAATAATGTAAATAAATAAATAAATTTCTGGCTTTCTGGAGGCGATGCTCAACTCTGGCCATGGGGAGGTGCTCTAGTTGCATTTCCAAGCCCAGGAGCCTGTTGTCCATAGACACCTCCTGGTCGTATTGCCGGCATGGCTGCATGGGCACCTTTATTACCTTTCCACCAAAGTGGTACTGATTGATCTACTCACATTTGCATGTTTTCGAACTCCTAGGTTGGCAGGAGTTAGGGCTAACAGTGGGCACTCACCGTGACCCGCGGCTTCGAACTGCCAACCTTTAGGTCAGCAGATTCAACAGTTCAACAGTTTAATCAGTTTCACCACTGCAGCCCCTTACCTTCTCCCTTTCCGTCTTCTTTCCCTCTCCTCCTTCTTTCCTTGATCTTTCTCTCCTTTCCTCCTCCTTCTTTATGGTCTCTCCTCCTTTCCCCTCCTCCTTTCCTCTTGTTCTTGTTCTTTTCTCTTTTTCACCTTCCCTCTCCTCCTCTTTCTCCTTTCCTCCTCCCCTTTCTTCTCTCCTTCATTCCTTCTTTTCTCTTTTTCACCTTCCCTCTCCTCCTCCTCCTCCTTCCCTTTTTCTTTCCTTCATTCCTTCCTTCTCTCCTTTCCTTCTTTCTTCCTCCCGCCCCTCCTTCTTGCCGCTTTTCCCCCTCTGTCTCCTCTTCCTCCTTCTTCTCTCATCTTTATTTCCTTGTTCTTCTTCCTCATATAATAATAATAATAATAATAATAATAATAATAATAATAATAATAATAATGCTTTATTTATATCCTGCCCTATCTCCCCGGAGGGACTCAACAAAACAAAACACAATGGCAAACATTCAAAAACAAACTCAATAAAAATTATAAAAATAGCAACATAAATAAACACAACATAGCAAAAGGTAAAGGTTTCCCCTTGACATTAAGTCTAGTCGAGTCCGACTCCGGGGGGCGGTGATCATCTCCATTTCTAGACTGAAAAGCCGGCCTTGTTTGTAGATGCCTCCATGGTCATGACTGCATGGAGTACTATTACCTTCCTGCAGAAGCAGTACCTATTGATCTTGTCACATTTGCATGTTTTCGAACTCCTAGGTTGGCAGGAGCTGGGGCTAACAACAGGAGCTCACACCGTCCTGTGAATTCGAACCGCTGACCTTCTAGTCAGCAAAATCTGCAGCTTAGCATAATACATTCACACACAACATTTTAAATTCTTAAACATTCTTAAAAATAGACTAAAATATTGGTATACAGCTGACGAATGTAGTTTGCTTTCCTCTTCTTTCCTCCTTCGCTTTCTTTCACCTTTCCTTCTCCTTTCCTCCTCCTTCTTACATTCACTACTTCTTTCCCTTTCTCTCCCATTCCTTTCATATTTCTTCTTTCTGTCCTTCTTTCTATCTATCTGTGTCTTTCTTTCTTTCTTCTTCCTCCCTCCTCTCCTCCTCCTTCTTTTCTTCCTTCTTTTTCTCTCTCCCTCCTCCCCTTCTTCTCCTCTTCCTTTTTCTTTTCCTCTTTCTCCTCCTCCTCGTCTCAGTAAGAAAGCAAACCAGGCAGGGAAGGACACCAGCAAATAAAATCAAGATTTTATGAAACGCAAATACCTTGGGGAGTCCCCTTGTCTAATTAGTGCCGGATTAGTTCATTAAAATTAATGAGTTCGTATTTAAGCAATGTAAGGGGAGAATTCCAGAAGAACACAAGGCAGTGGCCAGCTGCCAGACTTCCTAGTGGCTTCTTCAAAGGGTTTGTTTCCCCCTCTCTTTCAGCACTCGGGTTGAACTAGAGTTGCAATCTTGTTGGCACTTTTTGTGCAGCCATTCACTGAATGCGGCATCTTTCATTGGCACCAACAAGGGCCGGGTTGGCTCTTGAACCAGGGGCCCTGTAGCCTGGTAACCCCCAAATGACCAATTGGCATGGCACGCAGTGGGCGGAACTGTTGCAAGTCAATAATGCAGGCACGGGTAAACGGGCCCTCCAGATGTTTTGGACTTTAAC